TGTTGACATGGGCCTATAATCTCACCACTGAGACATGAAGAGTTATGAGTGCCAGGCCAGCCAAGGGTACATAACGAGACTGGGTCTCAGACAACAACAAAAACACCTAAGGAAGAAGAAAAGGCAAAACAAAACAAAACAAATTTATTTGAAATTTTCCCTTTTCAAAAGAGATGTCATGTCTTCTGTTGTGGTCATGAGTCTGGAGATCACAGACTGAGCTTGTTGCTTGTCAGCTGAGAGCTACCACTCCAATCAAGGAGGAGATTCTGAGCGCCTCCAGCTGTATGGTCTTGGCTCTGAGGCTCTGACCATGAAAACAACCAAGCCTTGGTCTTGTGTCGGGGGAACACATGACTATCATGAGTTCATTGTACAAAGATAGACTTTCTGCAAAGATCCATCCCTCACGTATTTGGTTTTTTGAGACAGGGTTTCTCTGAATAGCCCAGGTTTTCCTGGGACTCACTCTGTAGACCAAGCTGGTCTTGAACTCAGAGATCTGCCTGCCTCTGTCTCCTGAGTCCTGGGACTAAAGGTGTGCGCCACCACTGCCTGCTGGTTTTGTTTGCTTTGCCACCTCCCCTTTCCCCCCTTTCTTTTCAGTATAATCTTTATGTCCCAGTAGGCTCTTTATATCATCCATGTGACTCGACATTCCATGTTAAATATTCGTATTTGTCATTGTGCCTTATTTTATACTGAACATCCTACTATCCTACCATTGGTGTCATTGGTTCTCAGTAGGTTGCTGCTTTGCAACCAGTCATTTCTGTTGCACTTAGGCAACTGTCCCCTCTATTTTTCCTCTTTATTTTCCTTCTTTGAAATGTGTCTTATGGAACTAGCTTTTAGAGGGTCTGTTGAGAGAGACGTTAGTATAAAAATGTGCATACCTTTCACTCAACCTGAACAATTATTTGTATTTACATCTATTTGTCTGCTTGTCTGCCTGTGGTCCTCAGTGTGCCTGGTTCCCTAGGAGGCCAGAGAGGGCATCAGATCCCTTGGGACAGGAGCTACAGGTGGCTGTGAGCCACCATGTGCATGCTGGGAACCAAGGTCAGGTCCTCTGCAAGAGCAGCCAGTGACCCTCAGGGCCGAGCTCTTTCTCCAGCCCCTCAGTACTTACTGTTTCACTGGTTTTTATTTTTTCACGTACTGTTTGTGCCAGAATACTTTAAAGTGTCCTAGACCTATCTGTAACTTTTTAGAATATACTTCTGAAAAGATAAGAATGTAAGAAAGAACCATATTTCCATAGCCAGCAAATTTAGTAGTAAATTTTTATACTCCAATATTTAGTTTCTGTCTTTTATCTCCTCAAAAATATCTTTGGTTGTCCAATTTGAACCAGAATTGAAACAAGGCCCATATATTGCATTTGGTTAATACATTAATTTGTTTCTCTGCTGCTGTGATTTAAACACCATGACCAAAAAAAAAAACTTGAGGAGGAAAAGATTTATTACAACTTTTAGGTCCATCATGGAGGAAGCCAGGGCAAGAACCTAGGATCAAGAACTGAAGCAGAGAGAAACCATGGAGGAATGTGGCTTATTGGTTTCCCCTGCCTGTTTTCTGGTGGGACTGGAGAGATAGATAGCTCATTTGGTCAAGTGCTTGCCATACAACCATGGAGACCTCAGTTGGCTCACCAGAACCCTTGTAAAATAGGCAGGCATGGTCTCACACATCTATACTCCCAGCATGGGGAGTTTTAAAAGAGTTCTGGGTTTGACAGCATGTGCATTGTGGTCCTGCACAGGGGAAGAAGAGATGAGCAGTATGTGATATACACTGGCCAACTAACTTGAGCAAAATCTGAGTTCAGGCCACCAAGAGTCCTTGTTTCAAAAACATCTGGGCCTCCTTCATACGCATGTATACATATACAAGATGGAAACGGATTTCATCAGTTATTTTTCAAAACCTCTGAACAATAAGAGAGTAGAATATCAGTGTTGGCTGCTGCCCCTAGGGGTCCTTCAGACTTGACCCTGGAGCACTGACAAATAGGTTCCCGCGTCAGGACTTGTAACAGAAACAGCTCTTTTTCCTGCTTGTCTGTACTTTGGATTGTCACTGACTGTATAAGTTTTAATTTCAACACTACTGGTTGCTTCGTGTTGGTTCTTGTGTCACTGACTGGCAGGTATGATCTCAATCATTGAGCCTATAGATTCGGGTTATTTTATTGCCATATTAATGTGGTGGTGCACACTGTTAATCTCAGCACTCAGAAAGCAGAGGCAGATGGATCACTTGAGTTCGAGACCAGCCTGGTCTTCATAGCAAGTTCCATGACACAGAGACCCTGTCTCACAAAACAACAATAAAAGCAAGCTTTAGGGGGCTGGGAAGATGGCTCAATGGTTAAGAGCACTGGCTGCTCTTCCAGGGGACAGACGTTTAATTCCCAGCACCCACGTTGCTTCTGTAATTGGCCCGTAACCTAGTCTCTATTTATTTTCAATTTTATAGTTACTAAACCAAGGAGATCTAACTGAAAGACAGACATGAGTGAGCGGACTCCTGGAGACGCTGTTCTGTCTGATCCCAGAGTGCATGATGGGAACAGATCCAGAAGCCTCATAATCTGCCAGAACTGAAATGAGTCTGAAGGACAAAGACCTAGCCTCGACTCTGTTCATCTTCCCTGGCAGAGAAGGAGGACGTCTGAGGGCTTCTCTTCAACCTCCACCAGATGCAGTCCACGAGCGAAGCAGTGGCCGTGGGCTGGATACCTGTGCTGCCGCTCTCCTCAGTGCAACGTTCGGGGGTCAACGTCCCAAGAGCAAGTTTAATTATGTGTTGGCTGAAGATTTTCATTGTGACTGTCGAGGCTTTCCTTTGAAGAGTTTTCATCCTAGACCCAGCTATCTTTTCAGCTATCTTTTCATATGGTTGAATTCTGTCCTGCTTCCGACCACAGAACTTTACCAGAACACTGAGTTTTCAAGATGCCTTGTTGCTTTGAAGAAGGGAGAGATGCCAAGTACACTGTGGCAGTGCACTCTCCCTCCAGCAACCTGAGTAAAAGACTCAGCCGTTGGGCTGTACAAATTAAATTACTTGAATCTCCACTTGGCCCAGGCTGAGGTACCAACTTATCCTGGACACTTTGACTTGGTCATTTTTTGTTTTGTTTATGGGACTTAAAATAGCATGTTATCAGGGGGTTTATTTGTTGTTTTTTTTTTAAGTTAAAAACCACATGATCTAGTTTGTTTTCCTTTTAAATAAACAAAACAACCTAGTCACCTCTTTGGCTCGTGTTTTAGAGCAGTGGTTCTCAACCTTCCTGATGCTGTGACCCTTTAATGCAGTTCCTCATGCTGTGGTGACCCCCAACCATAAGATGATTTTCACTGCTACTTCACAACTAATTTTGCTACTGTTATGAATCATAATGTAAATATCTGATATGCAGGATATCTGATACGTGGTCCCTAGGTTAAGAACCGCTGTTTTAGACAGATGTGGGGTATTTTTGTTATTGTTGGTTTGTTTTGGTTTTTTTCAAGACAAGGTTTCTCTGTGTAGCCCTGGCTATCCTGGAACTCATTCTGTAGACCAGGCTGGCCTTGAACTCTGTCTCCTGAATGCTGGGACTAAAGGCGTATACCACCACTGCCTAGTAACAGATATGTTCTTAGAGGTCAAGAAAATTAGTCTTTTTCTTTTAAGATAGAGTATCTTAAATACTAGATACTCTATCTTAGTAATAGTAACAGAGAAGGGGCTAAGAGTAGGACAGTAGCTCATGCCTCTAGTCCCAGGACTCAGGCAGAGGCAGGCAGATCTCTTATGAGTTTGTGACACATAACAAGTTCTAGGGCAGCCAGGGCTACAGGGTTACACAGTGAGACAACTGTCTTAAAAAAATAAGAAGGCCTTATAATCCCAGCACTTGGGAGGCGGATTTCTGAGTTTGAGGCCAGCCTGGTCTACAGAGTGAGTTCCAGGACAGCCAGAACTACACAGAGAAACTCTGTCTCGAAAAACCAAAAAAAAAAAAAAAAGAAGAAGAAGGACTGATTGGGCTGGAGAGATGGCTCAGTGGTTAAGAGCACTGACTGCTCTTCCAGAGGTCCTGAGTTCAATTCCCAGCAACTACATGGTGGCTCACAACCTTCTGTAATGGGGGTCCGACGCCCTCTTCTGATGTATCTGAAAACACTGGCAGTGTATTCACATACATAAAATAAATAGATAAATTAAAAAAAAAAAGGACCTTGATGAACCAAGTCCCCCAACAAGCAGGGAATAAACAAATTTCTGAAGGGAAAACATACTCTCTGAAGAGATGGGCTGAAGAGACTGGGCTGAAGAGATGGCTTAGTGAAGATCACTTGCTGCTGTTCCAGGGCATCCCACTTCAGCCCACATCAGGCAACATGCAACACTCTGGAAGCCAGCTCTAAGGACACAAGGCCCTCTTCTGGGCTCTGGGTACTTACACTTGTGCGCACACATGCAAGTACACACACACACACACACAGCATATACATAATTTTAAAAATAAGGGAAACTACAAGAACCATAAAATAGGGTGCTGATTTACCTTAGCATGCTATATAGGTGGAATTAAACTGAAGAGCCTTAGAAGACGCAACACCAGTGCTTTTTGTTTAGAACTGGCAAACCACATGCCTTTAATCTTAGCACTCGGGAGGCAGAGGCAGTGGATCTCTTGAGTTTCAGGCCAGCCTGTTGTACATATAAAGTTGTACAGGACAGTAAGAAAAGGACAGAGAAACCCTGACTCAAAGAAGGAAAAGCAAGCAAAGAAAAGAACTGGCAAGCCCAGGTGGCTGTTAGCAATCAGACCCAGCACTAAACGTAAGTCTTATAGAATAGCAGTCGTAAAGGATAGTTTGGATTTTTCCCAGAAATGGTTAAGCATGAGAAATGCACTTCTTTTAGCCCATTATCATCTGCCTACAACACAATTATTGACCAGAAAGATACCCCAAACATCACCTATGAGTACAGAGTCAGTGGCCAAAGAAGTTTTATTTAGAATGAGCTCTGCTGACACACATATGCAAATAGTGTTCTCAAAGAATGGTAGAAAAGAACAGCTTAGCATTCGTTATCAGCATGCGCAGTTATCCTCTAGTATGGAGAAAAGTTCCTAGCAATTACTTGTTTTTCCAAAATTCCAGCCTGTGCTTCCTACAGGAGTGATTCTCAGTCTGGGACATTTTTGTACTCTAGAGGCCATTTGGCAATATCTGTTAACATTTTTGGTTGTCAACAACCTGAATGGGGTGTTACAAGGGGTGAGGAAAAAAACATCCTACAGGGGGCTGGAGAGAGGGCTCAGGGGTTAAGAGCACTGACTATTCTTCCAGAAGTCCTGAGTTCAATTCTCAGCAACCACATGGTGGCTCACAACTGTCTATAATGGGATCAGATGATCTCTTCTGGATTTGTCTGAAGACAGCTACAGTGTATTCATAGAAAATAAATAAATCTTTAAAAAAAAATCCTACAAATGATAAAAAATGACGTGTCCCAGTGTGTCAGATGCTGATAAGATGCTGTAGTTAAGGTGCAAATGTGGACTGAGAGACATGGTTTATTTCATACACAGTATTCCTACATGTTTAGCTGCCAAGATTCCAGGTTACTGGAAGCTGATGAGAATGTATTTAGTCTAGCTGTCCTAGATTTCTGTTTCCTTATTGCTACCTATTTTCCTACCTCTGTTCCTCTTACACCTACCTGATAGGTGTGGGCTGTACCTTACTTTCTATCCCTACTCCTTAAGTGTCAAGTGCAAAGCAAAGAGCCGTTACCTCTGGGCTAGGGCGCCTCCACCCTCGGCTCCACCTTGATCTCTGAATTTCTGTTCTGTACTTCCATTCCCTAGCAGAGGCCATGACTCTAGACTCAAGCTCCTCCTCTAGTTGGTTGCTTGATGCTCTGATGTGACAGGATGAGTGAACTATTCCAGCAAGCAGATTGGTTAGCTCTTCAAGCCACTGCTGTTCCAGCCTGGGCTCAGCAGGCAGTTGTAGAGTCTTCTAAAACCTGCTGTCAACCTCGGATGCTGAGTTTTGTAGTTTCATGGATGCTGAAAAAACAATATTTTCAATTGAAAGCATCTGTGAGGTTTAAGAATGGTCTCAACAAAGCCGGGCGGTGGTGGCGCACGCCTTTAATCCCAGCACTTGGGAGGCAGAGGCAGGTGGATTTCTGAGTTCGAGGCCAGCCTGGTCTACAGAGTGAGTTCCAGGACAGCCAGGGTTACAAGAGAAACCCTGTCTCGAAAAACCAAAAAACAAAAAACAAAAAACAAACAAACAAAAAAAAAAACAAAAGAATGGTCTCAACATTTTCATTTACTTTATTTGATAGAATGGAATTTTAAAGAGAAAACAGGAATTACTTGGACTTAATAAAACTGGAAATAACAGCCGCACCCTGCTTTTCTCTCTTTGCCTTAGGACACGTCAGTTATGAGAGGTGATGCTGGGGCATTAGCTATAAGGAGAAGGAATGGCAGACTCGCAGTCTCATCCTCTCACACAGTGTTGCTCAGGGGTGAGCGGGTGAGCTGTTACTACGTGCAGGGCTGGTACTCAAAGGAGTAACTTCTCTAAGATGCCTCCTGGTAGCATCATTGAGGATGACACAAGTACCTCTTACCAATGAGAATCCTTGACTTTGGCTTTCTCTACATCACACTGCCTCTGTGCCTTGACCCTTGGTTGTCACAAACTCTTCCTCCAGGCCAGCCTGCCTCAGGGTATCCCGATAACGCTGTTCTGCTTCTTTCCTGGCAAGGGCCTGTGGAGGGGGAGTGATTCTGAGTTATTTGGATAACCAGTCTTTATAATACTGCCCTTTCCACACCCCACCTTTGGTGCTAGACAAAAGTTGGCACAGGAATTAGAGAGCCTTATTTTTAGCCATAATTTGTAAAATGAGTCCATGGGCATCTTGTTCAAATGCAGGTACAAATACAATTCCATATCTCTTACACTTCTAGGAGGTGGCAGCTCTTTGAGAGCCACACCTTTAAAGAACATCCTCAGGAAGAATAACAAGATATTACAAGTACTCAGCAGGAGGAGTATGGTCTGAAATAGCTAGAAGTCTATCTTGTTTTACAAAACCACAGGCGTCCTTGTGGGTTTTTTTTTAATGTTAAAAGATCTGTGGGTGAAAGAATAAGCTTTCTCAACAAAAGTGGATCTAAAAGCCCAGCCTAAGTAGATTCTAGTCAGTCCAGCATGGGGGAGGGCAGGGCATCTGAAGGAGGAGGAGATCCACTATTACCTGGGAATTCACGTGCTTTACGATGGAACTCAAGCCCACAATGAAACACAGAGCCAGATACAGCACTTAACTGCCTGGGGCGGGTCTTTCTGGATGTTCAAGGGCTCTAGAGCTTCCTTAGGGAGATCTCAACTGAATTCACCTTCTTAAAGTCTAGAGAATAGTTTTCAAATGATTCAGCCTAAAAGCTACTTAATCTGGAGAGAGCCTTGAGGGATGTTTCTAAGCACGCTGATCTTTAAGGACCTATGTTTGGAGTAAAATGGCATTAATAAAGCAAGTTTGCCTTTCATCATTGTAAGCATTGTAAGTGCTGGGTGTGGGGGTGCATGGCCACAATCCCAGCACCAGGGAGATTAAGGCATGAGGGTGGTGGGTTCAAGTCCAGCCTGGACTCAATACATTAGAGGTCAGCTTGAGCTCCAGAAAAAGAAACCCTGGCTCAACTATCAGAAGTTTAAGTCCATGGTCCCTTGGCCCTGTCACTTTGGACTTCTGGCCAGGCACCAGTATAGAGAGGGAGGCATATGGTAGCTGCTGTCCATGTCATGGTGGCCAGCCAGGGAGCCAAGAGAATGTCCATGTGTCTGTGCCTTTTATCCCCACCTCCACCCCTGGCACGCCCAGACTATGAGACCAGGAATGCTGTCCATATTCAGGGTAGTTTTTCCTTCCTCAGCTAATTCTTTCTGGAAACACCCTCTGACACACCCAGAAGTATAGTGTGTTAATTTTCTGGGTCATTCAGCACAATCAAATTGAAAAGATTAACCACCTTGGAGTTCAATTTAGAGTATCTGAGTTTTAAGAAAATAATCAGAGTAAAATCTTTTTTACAATTTGTAAGAAACTGTTGACCCAAGGCAGGAAAGAGTTGAGAGTCTGGATTACCTTGGTAACCTGTTCAAAGAGATAGGGTCTTGTTTGTATTCTTTTCTTCATTTCCTCCAGTTCTTTCTTATATTCCTTTGCTCTTTTACGGTCATTGTTCCTGGAATTAACAAGGTTTCTAGAAGCAACCACTCTTTTTCAAAATCAGAAACCCTTCATGCAAGTTAAGCAGCCATCCCCGTGTACACTAAATTCTTATTGCCTGCCAAAGTCTGTGACTTCCTCTGATGATGTAGTCTACCCTAATGCCTCCATTTGCCATTTCAAAGTCAGTGATGTGCTTTAACACAGGCACCCCCTCTGGATGCGGAGGACACTGACCATGCTTGCTTGCTTGCTTGCTCGCTTGCTTTCTTTCTTTCCTTCTTCTTCTTTTTTTTTTTTTTTTTTTTTTTTTTTTGGTTTTTTGAGACAGGGTTTCTCTGTGTAGCCCTAGCTGTCCTGGAACTCACTCTGTAGACCAGGCTGGCCTCAAACTCAGAAATCCGCCTGCCTCTGCCTCCCAAGTGCTGGGATTAAAGGCATGCACCACCACTGCTCGGCCTGACTGAGCTTTAACACAGGCACCCCTCTGCATGCGGAGGACACTGACCGGTTCTCTTTAAGCTTCGCTTTGAACACCTCTTCCAGGCTTTTGTGGGGATCCATGGCTTTGGCCCTCGAGGTCACTGATTTAGACATGGCTTGACAGTTCTTTTTGTGCATCTCCAACCACTGAATGCTCATGTCTGATTTGTCCTTCTTTTCAAGTGACATTCTAAAGGAGAGAGCAAAAATAGGAGATGATCTGGGCACATGTATAAGCAATCATGGGAAGTCCTCTGCAAAGTCAGCTAAGTCTTGTCTTTTCTTTCTTAAGGTATTTGTTTGTTTGTGTATGTGTATATTTGGAGGGGGGGTAGGGGTATGTATAGGTGTGAATGCAGGTGCCCCCAGGGTCCAGAAGAGGGCTTCAGGCCTGCTGGAGTTAGAGTTACAATTGTGAGCAGCCCAGTGTGGATACTGGGACCCATATCTAAGGCTTCTGCTCTTAACCACTGAGCCATCTCTCCAGCCCCTAGTCGGTGTTTCTATGAATACGATTTCCTATACATTTGTTACAACTATGTTTACAGAAAAGAATGATTCTGGGGATGGCCATAGTGACACAGACCTGTAATCCCAGTTCAGGAGGAACAGATGTTCAGGATGTCCCAGCTACACAGTGACTTTCATGTCAGCCTGGCCCACAGGGAACCCCATCTCAACAGCTATTCTGGGTGAAAAGCAATGGCAGATGATGCCATTCCTGTTCTCTAGGTCCTGTGATTTCCCACATAAGAGAAGTCCATTGATTGAACAGAACACACTGGGTAAAATGGCTGTACCCAGCTAGGATTCAATAAATTTGGTGAGGTGTTTCCCTCATCTGGAGCCATACTCATAGCTACCATTTACAGAGCTGCCAGCCGGGAACCAAAAAACTGTTATATCTCATGTAATTCTCACCAGGCTCTGAGGAGGTAGACAGGCTAGGCCCTGTGCTTATGTGGGGGACTGAAAGTCAGAAAGACTCTTGCTCACCACTATTCACCGTGCAAAGGAAAAGCCAGTGCAGCCAGCATGGTGGACTTCTGAGTCTGCCCTAATCCCTGTGCTATAAACAGCGGTCAGGCAATGACTTAGGTTCACAGTTCTTTGAGAATACAAATCTCCATTTCCATAAAGATCTGGAAACAGCCCTCTTTTAATGTAGACCATTTGGGTTCAACTTAGAGCACTCAGTTTGTGTAAATTATTCTAGAGTTCTGTGGTGGGTTCCACCGAAAGACAAAATAATCAAGATTCTACACTTAAGAAATACATTCAAACAGATCAGGAACAAGGGCACAAAAGCTTGATCTGCTAAAATATTCAACTCCCTGATGTTGGAAAGCACATGTGAGAGCTTCTGTAGGTGGGCTGCCTCTCACTTGCAGGACCTTTTCCTGGGCCCTGGGATACCGATAACTCGGCCTAGGGTTAGTATTGACAAACCTGAGAAGGAAGCATCTCTGCATCCTAAATATACTCTTATGAGGTCTTAGTGTAGCCATGCTACTGTTGTGATTTTTGCTTCTCCATTCTGTTTAATGGGTTTTCAGGTGTCTGATGTGATCTTTCTGTTTCTCTCTGTACATTCAGAACAGAGATAACAGCATTGCCTCTCTTTCCTGTAACTTGGGTACCATACTTCCTGAACCTTTTATCTCCCTGGACTCTCTTATCTCCTAGCACCTTGCGTTCTGGAGTTCCTCACTCAAATGTCTGCATCTCTACCCTCAGCATTGTGAGCCGTTGGCTTGCAGCCCCGACGGGGCATGGTTGTACTTTTTGCTGCAGGGCCTGGAGCTAGTTTCCCCATTTGGTTTCCCGATGGCAAGAAATTGCCTTGGCTGTCTCTCTTGGACCCACACTCGTTAGTCCAGTGACAGCTCTGGCCGTATCACCTGCACACCCCTGGAAGCTTAGGCCTTCTTTTTGGTTTATATTTAGAAAAAACAAGAGACACCTTGTTCACATTTTCTTTCAAATGACCATATTTCCCACAGTTAAAGCAGAAAACACTTTGAGATCTGAGACCTCTAGTGGCTTTTCACAGCCTTTTTGCAAATGATCATACCTTCCACAATTAAAGCACCGTGCATTTAGAGATCTAAAACCTTTAGCTATGGCTTTCCCATTATTGTGACATTATACATGCTAGAACCAGTATCAGTCATCCCCCTGATTCACTCTTCTGTAGGTGCTGCCCTTGCCTTTAGTGGCCTGATAACTTTTTTTGCATTCTGTTTACATTTTCAAATGCCAGAGTCTCAATTAACATTTGTCTTGTATCAGAGTTTGATGTGGCTTTGTTCACAGCTGAAACTAACCTTTGTAAAAGAAAAAAAAATCAGTGAAGGCTTCTCCTGAGCCTTGTATAATTTTTGTAAATGATATACAATTCTTTCCTGGCTCCTCAGCTGTTAAATGACATTGCTCCGTGACTGTGTCTTCAGGTTGACCTGATGTTGTATATTAGCATACCGACCTTTATCTATCAACTGGTCCCTCACTGTATTAACCTCTCTTGCTCTATTGTGCTGTTCTGAATTCCTGGATTCTTGTCTCCACCATGACAACCAATGCAACTGAGGACCAGCCTCGAGTACAGCTGTTACCAATCCCCCCCAGTTTGGGGGAATAATTCTGAGTAGCCCAGTTACTGAGAGTTTGCTTCACATGGGCCATCCCATAAGACATCATTGCCTTTGTAACCACCTTAGGTCCATTCTACAGGATGCCATGCTATTTTGTCAGAACCTTGTGGATGACCCCATCAGCAGGCATAGGCTGTAACTGCCGGGAATGCTGTGGTGAGTTTGTGACCCAGAACTGCCTGTCCTCAAAAGGTGTTGTGGGCTTAACCCTGTCTCCTGTCCTGTCTCCTCTGACCATCTTCCTGCTTTTCACTTCTTTGACTTGGCTGCCCTTTGACACGGGTCCTTCCCCCTCTCTACCTGGGGAAAACTCCCTCTCTGCTTCAGTCACTAGGAATGAAGCTGTTTCTTCTCCCTTTTCTTGTGCTTGACTTTTTTCAAGCCTCTACTCTGTTTCTCTAGCTGCAAAGCTGACTCTGTTACTTTTTCAGAAAGAAGAAACCCTCTTATTTTCCTTTTTCCTCCATTCCTGATTCCCAAGCTTCTCCGCTCTTACCCGTTTTTCCCAGTTGCTCAGCTGGTCTTTCAACCCTTTTATAAACAAAATAACCCCAAATGAGGAAAAGGAGAGGGAAAAAATAAACCCCTGCTACTGAAAACCACAGGGTGGGGGTTCCCCAACAACAGCCTCAACAAAGTATCCACCCCTCCTTTTCCTGGCTTCTGCTCTGTGGTACTTGAAATCAAACCTTCCATTCTGCCTAGACCTACATTGGGTCCAGTTATGTGTGGGTTTTTTTTTTCTTTTATGTTGTCTCCTTTTCATACAAACACTAACCAGTTCTCTTAACTCCTTGCCAGCCCTCCTCCCAGTCTCCAGCCCAGCCCCTTCAAAGGTTTTATTTTTTCCCCAACCATTCCTCCCTCAGTTCCCCCACAGTGTGCATAAACAATTTCTTCTCCAGTTTTCCCAAAACTATAACAACGGTTCTAGCCTCTCTGTTCGGCTCAGCTTCTGACTCCACTGTAACTGCTCACTCTGCTAGCCGAGTCCACTTCCCACTGTCTCCGAACAGTATCATCTCTGGCTCAGCTCAGTCTCTTTTCTGTGCCAGCTGTCTCCTCTTCAGCCCTACTCAGCCCTTCTTCTAACCCTAGTCTTCTCTAAGCCGAGGCTCTGACCCTGCTCTTCCTGCCACCTGGACCCTCCTCCTCCTCTCAGGTTCTGCTGGCTTCTACTATCCTGTCCTGTTCCCAGAAGTCCAAGAGGCAACTGACAGTGAAGGTCACAGGGTCAAACAGTTCTCTTAAAGGGCCAGGCACACAAAATAAATCACTACAAAGTAGGGTCCTACTATCCCCTGGGAGCCTCCCAGGAGGCACTGAGGTATTAGTCCTTTCCCAGGCCTCTGCTCTATGCTGGATCACAGCTCCTTCTGCTCACTTCAGAGCTCTGGCAGAGGTCTTCCTGCTGACTAAATGAGAGCAGTGCCACAGAGCCAGGTCAGCAGAACTGTTAAAAAAAATCCACAGACTTGGATGGAGTATGACTCAGTTGCAGAAGGCCCTGAGTTTGCTCTCCAGTACTGAAGCAAAAGGAGAGAAAAGAAAGGAAGGGGGAGGGAAGGAAAGAAAAAGAAAAGCATAGAAAAGGGAGATAGGCTCCCACTGCCCAGCAGACTCGGAGTGTGAACCTCAAGACCCAAGTAAACCTCCCTCAGGGCTTGACCGTCTGGGCAATGGGTGTTGCATCTTGTTCATGGTGTGTTCTGCTCCCACCTTTATGCTTGAGTCTGCTGCGTCTTCCCTGTACCTCCCCTGGCTACCTTCCACTTTCATACACAGGCTTTTGTTTTGTTTTAGAAAGAAAAGGACACTGAGCACACTACAGGACAGGAGGCTGGACAATAACCAACAGCGCTACTCATGGGCTCATATACAGACTTACACATTCTTTTTCTAGAATCTTCTTTTCTCTTTAGCCTTTGTCTGACTCGTTCCTCTTTATCCTTTGGAGGGGCAGTTCTCACAGTATGTGTGTGGAAGTCAGGGGGTAACTTGCAAGAGTCAGTTCTCACATTCTACTGTGTGGGTCCTGGGACTGAATTGAGGTTGCCAGGCTTGCCAGCACGGACATTGATCCACTCAGCCATCTGGCTGGCCCCAGCTGCTCATCCTCACTGCCTAGACGGGCTGTCCGACAAGTTAGAGGCTGCACTTCTCTCTGCCCACTGCTCACCTGGAGGTGCAAGACTGGCTGGCACACTGGCACACTTTTCCTTGGGTGCTGGGATCTGAACTCAGGTCTCTGTGTTTGCACAGCAGAGGCTTTGCCATCGGAGCCATCTCCCAGTCCCTTCTTCCTTGTTCTTCATGTTTTACCTTAAACGTGTGTTCCAGAAGAGGTAAGACCACACCCCTAGGCTTCCCTGTGTTGTCATAGTCCCCTGTGCTTGCACTGCTCATAAGACAGGATAATCACCCTGAAAAATCCCATGTTTTGGACTGCATGTTACATTGTAAATGTTCCAGGGCATCTCTAACTTAACCCTGTGTCTTGCAGACTGAAAGGATGGTAGCACATATTTCTGCCCCATCAGAGGATTCCTTCACCTCCTAAGGTGTTTCTGATACTGGAGAAGAGGCCCAGCAGCAGGGCCAGTTCCAGTATTTGGAGCTAAAACCTGTCATGAGTCTGCTGTGGCTTCTTACTCACCGGACCGCAGATTCCCGCTTCCTGGTAGCATCTGTGATGTGCACAGGGAGGGTGTTGGCAGAAAAAGAAGCAAGACCACTCAGAGAATGACTCCTTGGGAGGGGTGTAGCTGTTGGCTGAGGGGACTTCTACAGGAAAGGAGGTGACATTGGTGACAACACATTATTAGTTTCTATCCTAATTAGGACTCAGTTTCAGGGAAGGACTAGAACTGAGGATAAACTTTGTTTAGTTACAAAGCCCACGCTTGCATATCAGGCCTACTGTTTTTAATCAACTGAGAAGAGTTCTTTGGAATTGTCTGATTAGTTTGGTCAATTGAATACACTTTAGAGTTACTTGGGAAGAGAATCTCAATGTGGACGAGTCTGGGTCAGGTAGACCTGGGGGCATGTGAGTGGGGGATTGTCTGGACTATGTTAAGGTGAGAGGACTCGCCTTCTGTGACAGAGTGGAGAAAGAGCATAGCACATGTGTGCGTTTATGAGCTCCTTCCTCCTGACTGCAAACATAACGAGCCACTTCAGTCTCCTGCGGCTTTGTCTTCCCAGTCATAATGTGCTGCAACCTGGGAATACAAGCAAAAATAAGCCCTGCTCCCTTCAGCTGCTGTGGACAAGGTATTTATCACAGCAACGGGAACACAGCTAAGACAGACTGGGCTCTGAGACTTGCTTGGACTCACGTTTGCAAAATCCATCTAGGGAGGTGCGAAAAGGAATGTTCTTGTTTTTACTTTACAGAATGTGGATATGCGTGCAACTGAGCAGGTGTTCAAAAAATAAAAAATAAGACAGAAAAGTATCAAGACATGTGCCTTCCTTTGAGATCTGGGCCTACTCTGTTATACTTTAGGATGCAGACTCTGACCCTCCCTGCTACCTGCCTGCGTTCTTCTCTTCTCTCCGCCAGCAGTAGCGGCATCACAGGATCGTGGAGTGTGACACAGGTTGGCAGTCCTCAGGAAGAAGGGCTTATTTCGAGTTGTCTCCCTGGTTTCCCTTCTCTCAGCAGCTCTTCTCTGGAAAGCCTTGTAAAGGCTTTCATAGTCCGGGACCACAGGGTTCACCTGAGGCTGGAATCCGAACTCAGTCTGTAGAAAACTCAGCTTCTCCTCCTGGGTACGGGTAGCCGTTCGGGGAGCCCTGCTACTCGGGGTGCTGATAGGAGAGGAAGCCATCTGGAGCATGTCCATAGCCCTCATCTGGATTCGGATTTTCCTGAGGAGCTCCGATTCTATGAAGAGGCAATCAAAGAAGAGGACCTGGAGAACACCTCCCCCGTGCCCTTTAGAGACAGGGTCTCCCCCTGCCCTTTAGAGACAGCCTCACTCTGTAGCCCAGACTGGTCTCTGGTTTATCCAAACCCTCCATCCTTGACCTCCTGAGTCTGTGGGATTACATGTGAAGGCAACCACAGGTCCCTCCTTTTCCCTCCTTTAGTAACGTGCTAAAGCCAGTGGCAAATGCAACAAACAAACAAACAAACAAACAGTTAACAATCATCCCCAAGGAATTCGCTCCTCTCCAAGATGAGGGGTAGGGAGGTGACCTCCCCAGAGGCAGCAGGCTGGAGATGGCACAGGCTGATGGAGGTCTTTTATGTCTTTTATGGTGTTTGCTTCCATACCTAGGCTAGTACAGAGGCTGTAGTGCACGCTTACTGAGAGAGGTCTGAAGGCTGAGCCTGGGGCCAGGTTTTTTGATTTCCCTACAGATCAGTAGTTCTTGGCCAGTGGGTTTTGACCCCTAAGGGGGGGGGGTCATGTATCAGATATCCTACATATCAGATATTACATTATGATTCATAACAGTAGCAAAATTACAGTTATGAAGTAGCAAGAGAATCATTTTATGGTTGGGGTCACCACAGCATGAAGAACTGTATTAAAGGGTCACAGCATTATGGAGCTTGAGAACCACTGTGGGACAGACCCAACCCACAGAGCATGGGTTACCTGCCCCCCACTGTAATCCCTGAATCTTGATCCTGAATTCCTGCAGCACCCCTGGAAACACCAGACCACAGGTAGCTAGAGATGCCAAGAATATCCTTACCCTGGAGTTTGTCACCAAGGGCTGGTTCCAGAATAGACTTGGGGATCTTTTTAGAAGTGGCTTTCTTTGGGGGGACCTTGGTCTGAGCCACAGCAGCTGAGTCTCTCTGTGAAGTGTCTTTCTTTTGCTGCTCTTTCTTTTCAAGGAAGCTGAAGGGCTTCAAGGAGGAGAGAAGCTGCTCCTTCCTCTTCTGAATACTTGCACGCCTCCTTGCCTCAGTGCGTTCCATGATCTCCTGATAGAGAGGCAGGTAGACATGCGCGGGCACAGGCTGGGCCCGGAACTGCCGATGGCACTCTGCCTCTTCCTGGCCCTGCTTCTGGGCCTGTAGCCTTTCCTGCTCAAAAGAGGCAGGTGAGGCCAGCCACTGGGACTTCTTCCTGGCCTCACGCAGTGTCATGCGGAATGGCTGAGGGACAGTGATGGAGGATGCCCAAGAGCAAACACTTCTGTGCTGGGAGGGAGGCCCAGAGTCTGAGGTTGGCAGGATCTGAGTCTTGGGGATGTCAGAGGGAAGGCTAGTCATGGAGCTGCAGCGCCTCATGGAGCCACACCTAGAGGAGAAAGCAGTTCTGTGGATGGACCCAGCACACAGGAGGTGAGGCTCCTTCCAGAAACCCCTCCTTTTCCTCCCTGCCCAGCAGATCATAACCAAGAGACTTCTTAGTCTCCATCCAAAGCCCCAAAGCCCCAAAGGCCTCTAGGTTCTTAACCTCAGCTAGGCTTCCCTTCTCGCCACAACACAGGCAATCCCAGCAGCTCAACGGGAATTATCTTCTAAGAATTCATGCAGGAATTTCCACTTTGCATTCTGATAACTGCATACAGTGTAGTCGGGTAGCACAGGGCCACAGAGTCATAAGGATCCAATTCAAACCTTAGGGTTTTGGATTTCCCATGTAGAGTGGCAGAAATATTATCCACTTATAAAGTTATAGGGAAGAGAATACATAGAACATTTGATAAAGGCCAGTGTGGCAAGACATGCCCAAAGCTCTTGAGAGTTATAACTGGGAAGTTCAGGAGTTTCGGGCCAGCCTGGTCTACATGAGACCCTGTCTCAATAAGAAAGAGATAAAGCATATATGCCGTGAGAAACTTGTCGTTCTTGGAGGACACGATGTTTGGGAAATGCATCCCTTTGGTCAGATCCACTGATTCATGAACTAATTAAGTGTTGCCCGAAGTTATTAAGGAACACTGGGTAAGAACCAAGACAAGAGCTACAGAGATGGCTCAGCAGTTAAAAGCATTTGCTGCTCTTCCAGAGGGCCTGTGCTTGATTCCCGGGATCCACATGGCAGTTCAGGGCTGTCTGCAACTCCAGTTCCAGGGAACCCAATGTTCCCCTGCTCTCTGTGGTCACTAGGCATGAACATGGTATACATACAAACAGGCAAAACACCCATAGACATGAATTTTTTTTTAGACTTATTTATTTTATGTAAGTACACTGTCACTGTCTTCAGACACACCAGAAGAGGGCATCAGATCCCATTACAGATGGTTGTGAGCCACCATGTGGTTGTTGAGAATTGAATTCAGGACCTCTGGAAGAGCAGTCAGTGCTCTTAACTGCTGAGCCATCTTTCCAGCCTGACATGAATATTTTAAGAAAGAATCACAACATGCAGCAGATCCAAGAACTATCTGGACTGCATCTTAGATAAATGACAATATGCAGAAGCGGTCTTACAGGGGGAAAGGCAAGGCCCTGAGACATGGTATGACCAGCCCAGGGTGCTGGAGCATGGCCGCCACTGAGTGCAATGCTTACCCAAGAGATGGAGGGCCCTGGACCTGTGGCTTCCCCCTGTTCTTGTCTCGGAAGAAGCTCTCCAAGTCTTCCTCATCCTCGGAGCCGTTCAAGTCACTGTCTGGATCAGACTGAAAGAGAGGCTTCAGTAGATCCCACCTGCCTTTCTGCTTTGGAACCTGTGGGGTTCTGTAAAAGCTCCCAGTGGAGTCAGAAGTGGAATCTGTGTCCTCCTCTGGGCTGAGAAACTCATGGAGTTTGCCAGCTCTGGGCAAAACCAGCCCTTCTCCAAGCAGCTCATCTTCTGGCTCAGTGTCTGAGGAGGAGGATTTGGGGGGAAATATCTAAAACAAAAGAGAAATCAGTGAGAGTTAAACTCTAATTTCAAAGGTTCTCAAAACATGGCTTTAGCTCCACTTTGGATGCTTCAGTATGTCAGGGACCAGGAAGGGACAACGGAAAGAAAGATGCATTCTTCATTCAGAAGGCATTGCACAACACAGTGTATGTATCTGCCTGGCTGTGCTGAGCAAAGGCTGCAGAAGAGCTAATGGCGGTTCCCTGCTCCATTCAGCACAGAAAGAGAACTCTGGGGACCAGCCTGAACCACACAGTATGTTTCCAGTGCTCCAGGAATCCTGCCCATGACCTGGCTACGCTCTGCTCCCAGTTCACTTGAGATTTACACAATTCTTACCCATCTTCCTTCTCTTATTTTCCCATTGACACCCTTACTTTCCTCATACTCTAACCAGTTTCCACGCCATCACCAACAACAGATGATTAGTGGTGAGAACTGTATCTAGGAGAAAGAGCAACATGGAGAATGGACCTCCCAGCCAGAGCTTAGATACTTTAAGGGCTACAAGTGCAGCACAGTGGTTGAGTTCTTGCCTAGCATGCTCAAAAGGACCAAGCACTGCCCTCATTCCCCAGCACTGTAAAGCATCAGCATCAAATTACATCTGTCCATTTGTGCATACAAGAAAATACAGGTTGGGTGCCTAGTATGCCATTGTCTTAGTTAGGGTTTCTGTTGCTGTGATGAAACACCATGACCAAAAAGCAAGTTGGGGAGAAAAGGTTTATTTGGCTTACACTTCCCCATTGCTGTTCATCATAGAAGGAAGTCAGGACTGGAACTCAAACAGGGCAGGAACCCGGAGGCAGAAGCTGATACAGAGCCCACAGAGGAGTGCTGCTTACTGGTTTTCTCCCCTGGTTTATTCAGCCTGCCTTCTTATAGAACCCAGGACTACCATCCCAAGGATGGCCCCACCAACCATGGGCTGGGTCCTCTCCTATTGGTCACTAGTTGAGAAATGCCTTACAGTTGGCTCCGGCATTTCCTTAACTGAGGCTCTTTCCTCTCTGAGGATCCCAGCCTGTGTCAGGCTGACACAAAGCCAGCCAGTCCAGTCATGATGTTTGTGTTCTAGTGAGAGCAGATGGAGAACATGAGAGGAAAACATAAACAAGTGTGCCCTTGGAAGGCTTGTCTTTGCTACCCATCAGAGGGCACCAGGAATGCACCAGGACTCAGGATATAATGTATCAGTTTGCTGCACAACATCATAGAAAACTCTAGCAAATGGGCAGGGATAGATTAGGACCAGCACGCTCAGATTGTTTGAGAGGAGGGACAGGGCAGATGGCTCAACTCTAGACAGGTACAGTGATGACTGACAACAGTCTAGAAAGGTAGATATTTGTGCAATACTTTAGGGAAAAGGTAAACAATTGATAAGTATAATCACTTAGAAGAAAGAAGTACTAGTAATTCTTCAATTATGTTATGGACCCCCAAAAAACACTGCTTTTTGGTGACCTTGCTTCTGCCCTTGGCTGTATCTGTTAGGCAGAGTGCAGATGCTCTTCCACTCATGATGCGGTTCTATCCAGATAAGCCCATTCCAAGTTACAGTGGTTTAAGTAAAAATGTACTAATACATTAACCTAACGAGCAGGACACTTAGAGAATAGCTATTGTTCACTCTCCTGATTGTGTGACTCACTAGACACGGCAAGTCCCTGACATTGTGTCACCAAAACAGAGTATCCTATTGCTGTTTAAAGAAAGACTGAGATCTGGAGCTAAGAATTTATCTCCATGGAGAACACTTGCCTAGAATGCACAAGATCCTGGGCTCAGTCCCCAGTACCGTAAAAATAGGAAAATAAAAGTACAGAGTATTGCTTCTACTGAATGCATGCTTGTCCTTCGCTTATAGTGCGGAAAGTGAACAGAACCACTGAGGTTGGGAGGGTCTGACTTTGAGTTTAAGGCTGATTTTTATCATCTCAACTGGATCTTGTGATAGAGGGATGGCTGGTGTGGCTGGAGGACTGTGACCTGAAATGTCCTTAGAGCCGTAGGTGCAAGGCCAGCAGCAGACAATAGATGCTTAGTTGCAATTGGAGCAGTCCATCTGAGTGAAAGAGGAATATGTACTGTCACCCTAGCTCTGTTGCTGAAGAACATGTGATCCGGAGCAAAACTCCTTCCTTCCCCTGCCCCCCTCTGTCTTGACAGGGTCAGTGGGTGACCTTGAACTCTATCCTTCTGCTTTAGTATTTTGAGTTGTTGGGATTACAAGTTTGAGCCATAATATACTGCTGGCTCTTTCGTTTTTAAAAACAATTCTATTGAAACACAATGTCCATAGTGTACAACTCAGCCATTCAAAGTGTATTCTCTCCTGGTTTCTAATATAGCCAGAGTCATCTAACTCTCACAGTATATAATTCAGAACGGTTTCATCATTCCCCTAAAGCAGCGGTCTTCAACCCTCCTAATGCTGTGAGCCTTTAATACAGTTCTTCATGTTGTGGTGACCACCCCCAACCATAGAGTTACTTCGTTGTTAATTCATAACTGTAATTTTGCTACTGTTATGAACTGTAAGGTAAAAATATCTGATATGCAGAATGGTCTTAGGTGACACAGATTGACAACCACTACCCTGAGGTACCACTGCCTTTAATTGTCCTTTACTTCTCATCACCCTCCTACATCCTGTCACCCTGTCAGCCCTAAGCAACCACCAGCCTACTTTCTCCTTTTTAGAGATTAGGGGGCAAATTGCTTAACCCATCTGTTTTCTAGAAAATGGGTTTGAGAGGATACACATATCCAATTTAATGAATTTTAGTATATTTAAAGAGCTGCGAATTCATAACTTCATTAAGGTTCTGTGCATTTTCTTTACTTTAAAACAACAAAAACCTTGGGTTCTGTTTCTCCCAGTTTCTCCTCAGCTCCTCAGCCCCAGGCAATGACTCACCCTCTAGATTCGCCTTTTTCTGAATAATTATATGAAGATAGAGATTGCTTTTAAGATTTCCAAGGTTAATTTGTGGGTTGTTATTAATACGGTCCCTAATATCGGAGCCTGGTACAAGGCACAAATGACTCATGTCCCCAAGACTGATTCTCTAAGTGCCTAAGCGCTGCCAAATGTAATTCCACGCCCTTTGGTGACACGCCCCTGACTCTGTCTCCACGGCAACGCTAAACAGTTTCCACTCTCGAGGATTCCTTGCTGAAGCATCCTGCTTCTTCCTTTCTCCACTCACCTCGCGGCTCCACTCGGCGCACTCGGGGCCTCCCGTAGTCCTCCCCACAGTCATCTTCCTGACTAGAGGGAGAAAGAAGCAGAGGTGACAGCGGCGGTGACAGCGACGCGAGCGGCGAGGTACTGCTAGCCACGCCCCTCACGCTATTAGCCTCGGATTGGCTTCCAGTCCCTAGTCTGTTCCGCCCAGTGAGGCAAGAGCGCTTTCTGATTGGCTGATTTTCTTCAATCATTTGATTTCCGGTTCTGAAGGGGGTTGAAGGCTCTGTCCCGGAAGCACTTTCCAGGACCTATCAGCAGGAAGCCCCGGGCGCGGACACAGGCCGGAGTCATTATGGCGGCCTGCATTGGCTCCATGGCGGGCTTGTTCGGCGTTCGCTGGTGGAGTACCGCGCAACTCGCAGCCAGAGGAGGCCCAATAGTTGCCTGTCGGCGATGGGCGGGCTCCTCGGCAGACACTGTGTACGATGTGGTGGTGTCAGGAGGAGGCCTGGTGGGCTCCGCCATGGCGTGTGCCTTGGGTAGGTGCATATCGACCGCGGCGTGGGGGAACTGAGCTATGGAGGGATGATGCTCACAGTGGGAGTCGGGATGCTGTCCAAAGACCTAGCGTGCCTGACCTGGTGGTTTGCTCACTATCCTTCCAGGGGAGTCCTCGGGAATGGCATGAAGCTTCAGTCCTGAGGGATCACAAGTAGGCGGGCTTTTATAAGTCAGTCCGACCCTTGAGAACTGCCCAGGATTTGTTTATGAGCACCTTGGGAGGCATCGGGCTTTGTAGTATCGGATGGTAGAGCGGATTGGCTTCGAAACCACAGAGATCATCTTCCTCTGTCTCCTGATTGCTGGGATTAAAGGCTGAGCCCCGCTCTCCTGCTCCTAACGCTGCTTTATTAAGATAACGTTCATATCGTTATAAGTCCTCCCACTTACAGCATACAGTCCAATGAGGCTTTAGTATATTCGCAGAGCTATGCAGTCACTAAGTTTTAGAACATTTTCCTTACTCTAAAAAAACAAAAAGCAAAAAAGTCTTGGAACTCATTAGATGTCACTCTTAATTTTTGCCCAGCCTCTCAGTCCTAGAGGCTCCCCTACTTTCTGTCTGTAGATTTATCTTTTCTGGATAGGTATATGTAGCTGGAGATATACTCGGTGTTTTAAAGGTTAATCCATGTTGTAGCATGAATCAGAACAGCTTTTGCTTTGAGGACTTGAAGCAATCCTCAATTGTGTGTATGTTCCACGTTTATCAACTGTTGAACGTGTGCTTGGTTTTCGCTTTTGGCCTATAACGAGTAATGCTAGTAGGGACATTTTGTGTCAAGCTTTGGTGTGGACATAGTGTTGATTATCTCGAGGCTATTCACTAGTGAAGTTTCTGGGTTATATGGTAACTGATGTTTTGAAGAACTTTCAGACTTTGAGAGAGTGTGCCAGTTTGCAGTATCGTGACAGTATATGAGTGCTCTGGTTTCTCCAGACCCTGCCATCACTCTCTGCTGCTATTTTGTCTTGTCCTCTTAAGTGCATAGGAAGTGCTTCATGTGTATATTTCCCTAATGACCAATGGTGTTGCATACATTTACCAAATGCTGGCATGATGTAGCACCATTTCTGGCCCCTTTGAAACATTAACATTTATCTTTTGGTGGCTTGCTCTTGGGTTAGGTTTGGCACCATTTCTGGCCCCTTTGAAACTTCCTTGTTCACATTTTGGTGGCTCGCTCTTGGGTTACGTTTTTGTGTGTGTTTCATTTGTACTGTATCCTTCTCTTGCTCTTTCCTGAGCGTCACAGGGAAGGAAGGCAGCAGCTCTTTTACTAGTGTTTTCACACAAGTCTGTTTTGTTATTGTTTGCTTTTCTGTCTCTTTCACAGAACTCAGGAGTGACTGTTAAAATCATGGTCGTAAAAAGCATGGTGTTTTTTGGAAGATAGAGGCAGGAGGATAAAAAGTTCAAAGCCATCCTTGGGCTACACAGAATACAAAACCCCCCAAAACAAACAAAAATATGTAATTAAGACATTCCCAATAGGTTTTTGGTTGGTTTTTGAAACAAGGTGCTATGTAATCGTGGCTGGTCTGGACCTTTAACTAATTCCCCTGCCTCTGCCTCCCAAATGCTGGCATCCCAAGCACACACTGTTACTCCGGAGTCAGAATGGCGCTTACTAATTCCCCCTTAAGTCTCCTGTTTTTCTTAATTCTTCCTAAAACTCACAAATAATTGTTGTTTTAGGCTTGCATTTTCCTCTCACATTTGAGTTTGGGAGTAGTTCCCTGCATAATTCCATTAAGTTCCTTTTTTTTTTTTTTTTGGTTTTTCGAGACAGGGTTTCTCTGCATAGCCCTGGCTGTCCTGGAACTCACTCTGTAGACCAGGCTGGCCTCGAACTCAGAAATCCACCTGCCTCTGCCTCCCAAGTGCTGGGATTAAAGGTGTGCGCCACCACTGCCCAGCTTAAGTTCCATTCTTAAATCCATTCTTATACTATTCTTTGGGTTTTATTTTGAGCCTCCTCCTCCTCCTCTTCTTCCTCTTCCTCCTCGAGCCCCTGGGTAGCCAAGAATACATGTGTGCATCACTCCACCAGGGCTTCCCACATGATTTCTAGGCTTTTTTTTTTTTTTTTTCATTTCAAAAAAGTTAACTTAATAGCCAAGAAACAAAATACATCACTTGGGTGTGTTTTATAATGTGCTTGGAAATCTAATTCTTTTCCTTCCAGTTTTCTGGGGTGTCTTATCCAGCAGGCAGATAGCACCTACTTTATGAGTTTGCAGCTGGAAATAATAATATAAGGGAAGAACGTAAGGCACTCGAACCTAGCAGAGGACAGGAGAGCTCCCTTGTAGAGGAGCACGCAGCTGGCTTGTCTGGGGGACAAAGTGTCTGCTGTGGAGAATACACCTAGGAAGCAAGGCTAGGATCACAGAGACCATAGAGCGCCGCCCTCAGAGCGAGGGGCAGGGTGATGGGGAGCTAGGAGACCATGGTTTTGAGCAAGCATGTCTGGGTCCCTCCTTCCTGTGGAGCCCCCCTAAGAGGGATCAGCCCTGCTGGGTTGACTGCTCCTCACTGCCTGCTCCACTGCAGCCACTTTGATTTTTACCCACGCCTGTGCTTGTCACAATGGTGCTTAGTCACCACCAGTGTGCAGGGACAGTGCCTGCAGGCACATGTGGGATTTATGGATGACACCAGTTGCTCTATCATCTGAAATGCAAAGGCCCATCCAAGAGGGTGACTGTGCTCACCCTATTGGAATCGGAAAGAGAGGCTGGGAGGTTGCAGTCACCTTGCTTCTGGGTGCCAGATATCCACTACTTGGCCCATGGGATGCCCTGCAACGGTTAACAAAGCATTTGGATTTTTTTGAAGGCATGCACCATATGGCTAGCTTAATTTTCTTTGTGTCTGTATACATTATGTGCATATGAGAGGAGTGTTTGAGGAAGTCAGAAAAGGGTGTTGGGTCCACAGGCTGGATTAGAGTTGGAGCCTCGGTGCTGGCCTCTCTGGCCTCTGCAGGAGAAGTCTGTGTGTGCTTTACTTGTGAGCGCTTCCTCTTCATATTGCAAAGTAACCCATTTTTTTTTTTTTTTTTTTTTTTTTTTGGTTTTTCGAGACAGGGTTTCTCTGTGTAGCCCGGGCTGTCCTGGAACTCACTCTGTAGACCAGGCTGGCCTCGAACTCAGAAATCCTCCTGCCTCTGCCTCCCAAGTGCTGGGATTAAAGGCGTGCGCCACCACTGCCCGGCAAGTAACCCATTTCTTGATGATGCCACATTACTTCAGCTTTACTGGCCAGTTACAAATTACATTCTAGCTCTTACACAGTCTCTGGAGCTTTCCCAGGCACTGGGAGACTGTGCTGCAGGCAGGCCTTCTCCCTATAATGGTTCCAAGTTCCACGTTTTCACTACAGATGTTTCAGGATCAGATTTGTAGTGTGTTTTTTTAATTCTTTGTCTTATTTTGAGACTGTAGTGAATTTTGCTTTCTTTCTTTCTTTCTTTCTTTTTCTTTCTTTTTTTTTTTTTGGTTTTTCGAGACAGGGTTTCCAGGGTTTCTCTGTGTAGTCCTGGCTGTCCTGGAACTCACTCTGTAGACCAGGCTGGCCTCAAACTCAGAAATCCACCTGCCTCTGCCTCTGCCTCCCAAGTGCTGGGATTATGAATTTTGCTTTCTTAAAATGCTCCATTGTTATGTTTCTGTCCAGCTCTCGCCCACTCCTGCTTTCTCCTGTGTGTTCTTGTGACTATGCAGTTACAGCCTGGAGAGGAAACCCAAGGCTGTGCATGTGTGAGGCTCATGCTAGACCATTGAGATGCAGGTGTGAGGCTCCTGCTACACCATTGAGATGCA